TAAAATGATTATCTAAAAAGCTGATTTAACAATTAAATCTTTTTATGATTCCAGTTCTAGATTTTGTATATTGAATGTAATTGCCCTAATAATATTAATGTACGTAAATTTATTATACTCGTATAAAGCACTATATGAGACATATATTATCGAATTGTTGAGAGCTTATTTTTCCCTAGGCACTTTCAATGGGAAAATGCTTGTTCTAGTCTACTCCGTTTGGCAGTGCATTGAGGAATTCGTCTCTCGGATTAGTGTAGAATTGATCGTTATCATATCTGCAACTAAAGTCTTGAATCATCATCCATCATCATCAAGCAGCAGTGTTGTTAGCATGGGACTACAGAAATTACCGACATGATTATGATTGAAAGTGCCTTTAGTATGTATAAGTACCTATGTACGTATGTATGAATATTCATCATTCTTTCGCATTCATGCATTTCGTACATCAGCCAACTACTTAGCCAACTTCTGGACTCAGCGGAGCAGCGGCGACTGCTGCTGTGGCTCATTAAAACATTGTTTCTGCTCCTTTCTATTTCCACTTTCATTTCCCACAGCCAAAGATTTTATTCGAGTATTGTCTGCTCAGCTTGCATTTGCATCACATCAGACACATCAGTCTCGGCTTCGGTCTCCTTCCCGGTCCCAGTCCATGTACGGGCACATCCACACAGCATTCCAATGCTTGCTTCATTTGCCACATTGCCCCATGCGAGATGAGAGATGCAAGAAGCGAGGATTTCATCAATTCGTCTCCCTTTTTGTGGCATTTGCCTGCTACTTACTCCTTTCTGTGCATACTGAACGCTTTGAGCTGCCATTTTGTGGATATGTCGATTTATTATTTTTTATTGTTGTTACGTTTTACGACTTTTGCCGACTCTACTCAGGCTGCTCTCCGCTCTATCCGTGCTCTCTCGGCTGCCGTCGGGCAGGACAGGGCAGATCTGGAGATATTTACGGCACAGCACAGTCGTTCCTCAGTTTTCAGTTCCTCATCTTTTTCGGTAGCAAGAACTTATCCAGCTGCAGTGCTCAACGAAATTTTATCAAAATATTTCGAAAGCATCTCCCTCTCCGGCTCTATCCTTTTTTTATTGCTCAAGTTAATTTTACAGCACGATGTCAAAGTGTTCTGCTCGGAGAGACACAGACTCTTTGGGTTTATTAGCAGCTGGGAAATGAATGCATTTTATCTGGATAATATTTCAACGTGCTCTGGCTATAGATAGAGCAATAAAGATTCTCTATATACATATGCATATAGCAATATTATTTCCAGAAAGAAAATTTAAAAATATATACTTTGATCGCCAACAAACAAAAGTACCAAAAGAATTGCTAACAGTACAGCCATTGATGAATCGATGCGACACATAGTGCATCTTACCTAATTGTACCATAAAACAAGTTTACTTTACGAATAAAATGAGTTTTATTCGTTGAAACTGGTTCAGGAATTAGGAACATTTTTTTTCATGTCATCAAACGCGTTTTTTATTTACAATCTCTCTGAACTTGATCAACAGCTCCTTCCAACACATAAAGTCGAGCGATAAATATGTATTTGTATAGTTGGTATACTGTACCATATCATTGTACACATTTAAATATGCCAATCATTAGTTAACAGACATTTTAAAGCTCTCTGTTTGGCGATTATATTTGATCAAATTCGTTTCTTGAGAGTATGCAGCGCAGAATTAAGATCGTGATGGTCGAAACGATTGTCAATTAGAAAGCAATGTGTAAATTAATTGTTGACATGTTGACATTTGTCTACAAAACCGGACCAAAATCGTGTTTACGATGGTATGCGACCACAAAGTACAAACAGATTTGATCAATAACCAGTCACAGAAAAGTATAAGTTAGACAGAGGGGATAAAAGCCAAGATATAAATCGTGCTTCAAAGACACTTTTGATTTGAATGTTTGTAGTAAAAACATATACATACATATATGTATGTACATACATACATACATATGCTCGTCATGTATAACTAAAACTATGGTAGTTATCGATGAAAGAGGTAGCTGGCGTAGAGTAGTTGCAGCCAGCGAAACGAAGTCGGTGCCGAGGCGGTTGTCGTCGTTTGGCAAATGGTTTTCCTTGGCCATGTAATGCCTGCCAATTGGTACAAAAAAGCTGTACATAGACCTCTCATCCTGTAGAAGCGTTGCGAGAGCAGCTGCAGCAGACGACGAAGGAGGCAGGGCTGGGCAAGGAGAACGAGGAGGTGCAGCGCCAAAACCCACTTCGTGCTGCAGCAACAAACTCATAAAAAGGCGCAGAAAAACGAGCAAAGAAAACTTGGCTAACGACTTAAACGACTCGATGGGTAGCAGGATGGGGACGAGCGAAGAGAGCCCAGAACGAGGACACTCGGGGAATACACTCGCAGACCGGAGACGGAGTCGGATTCGGTGTCGGATTCGGTGTCGGTGTCGGATATTGTGAGAGAGAGAGCAGGAGCTGAGAGCCGAGCCGAGTGGAAGGTTAGCCTGCAGTTTGGACAGTAATAAAAGTAATAACAGCACCAATACCAGTGCAAAACTGCATATACACGTATAGTAGATATGTACATATGCATGTACATAGGTACTTATATACTTGTATTTCTCTGCGTTTGTATGTATGTATGGATGCACTCCTGCCACTCGACCCTGCGCAGAGTCAGTTTATGCGCGTTAATGGCATCGTTTACTGGCTAACTGTACATACATATAATGTACTGGTACATACATAAGATACATAGGTATACATGCATCTCTGCATTTCAGTATGGGTGTGGCGTTGCAACAACAACAGCTTGCAGCTCGTTGCAGCCGGGGAAGTAGACAAAATATTCGTTTAAAGTGGGCGTTACCAACATCTTCCGAGCAGTTTACATAATACATAAATGCATAATCTGTATACTCGTTCAGGGCCGGGGGAAAGTGATTAAAATGTCCTGCAATCGGGACATGCATTTGCATTTCTTTCACGACAATCAAATTACAAATATTTCACATCTTGTATGCGAACGAAAAGTGATATAAATCATTTGTATTTTGTATATTTTGAGTGCTAAATGCCAATGAATAATGTAAAAGGTTTGTGAATCATCTCAATTAGATGAAAGTTTATCGCTGGACTACATTGAAGTCTGTTAAGGCGAAGTAACCTTATTTATTTTTTATGTTCATAATGTATAATTCATTTAATTTATGCTTAGGGAGTAAACACCATCGTAGCGAACTAAGTCCAATCCGCTGGAGTACATGTATGAAGTGATTAAAATGGAAAAGCAAAACGAATTGCGGGGCTAATCTAATTGTTTGGCTGTTATGGCTATGGTCATGCTGTGGTTGGCGGCAGTAATAAATCAATTTATTAGATTTATTTGCGGCTAATAAAATAATTTGAAAGCATAAAGTAGAGGCACAGCAAGCTCCCCTCCCCCCTAAAACAATGGTCAGCGCAGCACTAATGGCTTAATTACTAAATTAAAGTGCTGCAAAACAGCACAACAAATGTGCGTGCAATGAATGTGATCAAATGCATGCCTCGATTCTCCTCTGTTGTGCCTGTGTGTGTGTGTGTGTGTGTGTGTGAGCGTGTGCAGTGTGCAGTGTGCCACACCAGAAATCATGTAAGCTAAACGGCACGGCACTGCAATTGCAGCAAGAGGGAAACAACAGGAAGTGGAGCTCCGCTTCTCTAAAGACATGCTTCAACACAGCTCACGAACCACAAACACAGCAGCACGCAAAGACACATACTCTTGCAGGCCACTAGCTGGGTTCACCAATGCAAATCTTGCGCCACAAATTCCCTGCAACAAAGCGCCAACTACTCAGCACAGTTGCATGCAACAACGGCAGCAGCAGCAGCAGCAGCAGCAGCAACAGCGGCAGCAGCAAGAGAAGCAACAGCAGCGCAAGCAAGCAATAACAACAGCACTAAAGGAGGAAAGAAGCGAGAGACATAATAAAACGGGCCAATGGATATGAAGCTCCGCCTACAACGAAACTACCGACAACGATGACGATGCCGATGCCGAGGCTATTGTTGTTGTTGCTGTTGCTGTTGCCGTTGCTCTGCTCTGATGTTGATGTTGCTGTTGTTGTTGTGTAGGTAAAAACAAGAAGAACGAAAAATGAAAAAAAATGGCAGGCGATACGAACAGCATAATGGCATAAGCTCAAAGAGAGAGAGAGAGCGAGAGTGAGCGATAGAGAGAGAGAGAGAGAGGGACAAATTGTGAAAGAGAGGGCAAGGCAACTTAAACGTGAAACGACAGCACCGGAGGCCACACGAATAGTGCCACAACGAAATGAAGAAGAATGGTCGCACAGGTAGCCATTGCATTGGGGAAACAAGTGCAATGTAGAAAACGTGCAATTTTCACACAGAATGCATTCGAAATAATGTGTTTGTTTTCTTGAGAGCACTCGGAAAGTTATATTATATTAAAATTCATGCTAGATCGATAGCATATATGAGATCACAGATCATATCAAATAATTATTTACAATCTGCACATTTTGATTGAACAAAAAAGAGTTTTTCTTTCAAATTCATTCATTCTGATGATTCTCAGCAGCCACAAATCTTACCGCTGGCTGAGCATTTGTTGTCTCTTAATTATTTTAACGCCCTGCGGTGTGGGCCTTCGATTCAGTTTCTGCATTCTCCCTCCAGTATTGGGTTGCAATTTGTGCCTACGTATTCGCCGCCATGTTTACGTTTCGCAATGCTCCGTCGTCTGGCAGGGATTGCAGGAGGCAGGAGGGGTCTGTCGCTCTGGACAAAATGTGTGTCAGGCGAAATTGAAGACCACAAAACGTATGGAGATAACTTGGGATGGAGTTTTGTTTATTTATGTCAATGTTTATGTTATATGGATTGATGAATGAATGAAGCTGACTGATACCAGATCGGTGTTCGATCAACGAAATTATGGAGAAAACTAACTTGTGTCTCATATTATTCATTGTTTACATTGCAGGTCAAGATGTATTCCTAGATTATTGCCAAAAGCTATTAGAGAAATTCCGATATCCGTGGGAGCTGATGCCGCTCATGTATGTGATATTGAAGGACGCTGACGCAAATATCGAAGAGGCTTCGCGTCGAATCGAAGAGGGTAAGTAACGAGAGATCTACAACAAGCTCACCACAACCCCATATGTGAAACGTTACCCTCCATTTGATGTGCTACGTACAATATAATCAATGCCAAATATCTTCCGATCTGATCCAAACCAGGCCAGTACGTTGTGAATGAGTACTCCCGTCAGCATAATTTAAATATCTATGACGGGGGTGAGCTACGCAACACAACGCGGCAATGTGGATGATAATTTATTCATTAACTTAACTGAAATAACGAATATTGCGATTTTGTCTTTGCCCCGATATTTATTGTTCAGCATCACAAAATCTTAGCCTAATGCTTAAGCGAAAGAGTGCGCGCGGGTTCGACATGAGTAAAATCAAATCAAATCAAAGTAAAGTAACGTTAAAGTTAATGTTTTAAGAAGCCAAAACCTCTGTAAATATATCGAATTTATCGGTAAGCTAAAGCGCCACTGGATTATCTTCAATCAACAAACCAAATATATCGATGTGTGAGCTGTGACCGACGCCATTTCTTCTGCAATCAATATACCCCCACTTTGAGGACGATGTCTGCCTGTCAATCAATCAACATTCAACAATCAACATTTTCTTCTCTCCAATCAACACTCCCCAATTGGATGCTATTCAACACTCAAGACTCAAAACTAAGCCGCCAACGAAAGAAGACGAATATAAAAAGTTAATTTAAAGATTTTTAATAATTTCGAAAGTGCCGCAAGTCAACAATCTACAACACTCTTTCAACAATCAACAATCAACAATCAACAAAAATCTGCACATCGGTTGCATGAATTTAGTTCAAAATTTGGTTTAAGTCTTTCCTTATTTCTTATTTGTCTTTTCATAGACTAGTATTTGGGTTCCCTTTCCTCAAAGCTCTGCACACGAGTCACTTAAGTTATTCCTTTGTTACCTTAGTACTTAAATGAAGCATTGATGAGTTTGTGCCAATAGGTGCCATGAAGGAAGATACATACATACATCATACATGATACATAAAAACATACTCATCCATAGGGACCTACCCGCTAATCTCAAAACTGTTCGCTACGTACGAGTACATACTACCTACTATATGATAGTTTTTGTCCGAAGATGGAAAACTAATTTCCGGCTGGTGATCTGCTACGAAAACACTGTTGTGAGATGGTGCACAAATCAAATAAAATAAAGTATATTTGTACGAGTTAATAGGTTAACTCTTTCGATGTACTGCGAAAAAACTCTACTTGTAATATTAAACAATAATAATAATTCTCATTGTATAAATATTGTTATCGACTTAAGTAGGATTTAGTCCAACGAAATATTATAAAAAGGATAAACCTGAAAATGTCAAAAATAAACTATTTTCCCTAATCAGCGAAATCGGTTAGGCTAACCTTTATTCCCGAGAGACCAAGAGGATTTCGCAGCTCTACCCACCTCCTTGAGGCCATTAACAAATGGAAACGAAACCCGAATCCCCAGAAAATGGAATTGCCTCAAGGGGGGGGGCAGAAAAGTATCAGCTGCTGTTTGTTTTGTTGATGACATTAAAAATTGTAACGATTGCTTTTCAAGTTGTTGCCATTTCACTGAAGCCATTACCGTGCGACGTCCCAGAAGCAGATGAAGTTTTCTGCTTTCAGTCCGGGATTGGCAGTGGAGCCAGTTGTGGCAGTGGAGCGGTGTCGCTGTGGATTGGGGCAGTACGGGAGCTGGGAGTTTGCCTGAGTCGCCACTGCTGCTGGGATCGTAAATGCATCATTAAACCGAAAAATGCATGCGAAAAATTTACGACATTGCCAACACCGTCGCTCAGAGGCTTGCCAAGAACCCAGCTTCGGTTTCAGTTCTCCTCAGTTTTTGACTGCTGCCTTGCTTGCTTTCCGGCATGGGGAAGCTGCTCCAGCACCAGCACCAGCACCAGCTCCACTCCACGCTCCAGTCTACTGCCAGGTAGCTGCAATCCTCCGGCCGTAACAGCTCAACATCGTTTCTCGGCACTAAACACGTCACGATGGTATTTTAGGAATTGTAGGATGACTGCGACTGAGACTGGGCCATGAAGAACGGGCTCCCTGGGTTGCCATGGGTAGGCAATGGCGACGTGTAAATGTGGGCACCATAAAGCTTAAAAGTGTTTATGGTTGAATTGTACGGGAAAGAGGCAGGGAGCGGGCTGGGAGGGGATCGTTCAACATGTGAGCTGACTCGAAGGCAAAGAATCGAAAGTTTAATTTGAAATTTTGCTGGCTGCGATTTGCAATGCAATTTGAAAATAGAATACAAAATATTTAATTTTTAATATAAATTTATAAATAAATTATATATATATGTTAGAGCCATTCCGGAAACCCTTCCTAGTTATTTTCTGCCAAGCAAATGACTCAATGCATACACCCGAAGGGCATTTAGTCCAAACTCCACATAACTATTTTATGAGACATTTCCATATCCGCGCGTTTTGTCATATTTTGAGCGACGCCTCTCTTTGTATTCCCATAAAAAATAGACTCGCAAGTATACCATTTTGTATGGGGCGCCATAACGAGCTGGGAGCCAGCCTCATCATCATCATCATCATCATCATCGTATCATCATCTAGTGGATGTGAGTCTCAGTCCAGTCTAGTCCTGGCTCTCGTACAAATTCTTTCCACTTTCATCCCAAACATTTACCAATGCTTATTAAAAACTATAGGGAAGTGCAGACCCAGCGGCAGCAGGAAGCAAAAATTGCCAACTTTACGACTTCATATTGTGGGCGGGTCGTTAAATATTTGTGCAGCGTCAACTTCTACTCTACATCCACATCTCCATTCTCCATTCTCCATTTTCCATTCTCCATGCTCCATGCTCCTTCTCCTTTCTGGAGGGCTACTGTTATTTTTACTGCTCGCCGACTTACATGGCTACGATGCTACCAACACAAGCTGCCACTTGTGCCAGACATCTGATATATGATCTATACATACATGTATAGAGAAAGGCAGGATGTTAAATAATAACCAGCCAGTTTGTCATAAATGCCCCTAACATAATCAGCCTGGACATCCGTTCAGTTTTTCATAACATTGGTCCAGCCCTCTGTTCCTCTCTCGGGTAATGGCACAATGGCTGCCTCCGCGGCCAAGTCAACTGAAAAACTATTGTCGTGGTTTTGTGGCCTGCAAGCGCTCAGATTATGAAACTCTAGAGAGGGTGACAGCGGACCAAGTGAGCTAATTTTATGGCAAAGAACTTTATAAGCGTGGCTAACGGTTGGCTTGCTCATTCATCTAAGCAGTTGGCTGAGCTGTCAACTGGGTCATGGCAAAGAAAGCATTTTGAAATATTCTTCATTTGCATTGCACCTGATAGGTTTTTGAAAACCCATTTAAGATCGTGGCAGCATATTCTTTATTGTAACAGAAACTCTTCTAACATTTTAATTAAATTTAACACCTACCTTTGCACATTTTTCCCCATCTGTTAGCCATCTCTCACCTGAGTTTGGCATTAGAACTGTCGAGAATGGAGGCGCTGGAGGGAAACTCTCTGCTTAGAATACTTGAAAATCCATTCTTCTAATTAACCCAACACCAGGACTCAGTTTATGGGCTGACCCAAGCGAGATAGCTGTATAATAACAAGTTCCTTTAAGAGCTACTTTAGAGGTAGAAGGCAGCTCTGCCTTCGTCAGGTCGCAACTTCTTTACGACTTTTTATTATTTCGTCAAATTGCACAATGGGCGAGCGGCATTAGTTGCGACTTAGGTTGGGGCCGGTATCGACTGTACCTATTTGCTATCAAATATTTTCGGAGTCTCGAGAGCAGGAGCAGGAGCAGGAGTACGCTCATGCGTAATTGTGCCTCATACGCTCTTCTGGCCCTGTTTAATGCATTCTGCAGTTGGCGGAAGAAAAAAATCCCATTAAAATTAAGTAAAATTGCAGCAGCAGCAGCAGCAGCAGCAGCAGAGTAATCGTAAAAACTTGGCATTTTGATGTTGCAGCAAGCAGTAAAATTTTGAAAAGTTTTTGCCACGCAGATAAGGAGGGGAGTCAACGGAAGACAAAGGCTCTTGCAACAGAAACTCCAACTGGAGCTGGGATGTGGCTTTGGCTTTGGCTGTGGCTCTGACTCTGCCTCTGCCTGTATATGGGATATGGGGATCTGGGCTCTGGTGCGGCAGGGTCGCCGTGCTGGGGAGGGTTTATTGTGTGAGCACCGTGCGAAGGTTGCACATAAAGTGCATGCCGAGGCCATAGGTGGGCTGGCCCTGTCCCGGGTCCCCAGGTGCCTTCCAAAATGGCGCAAATCTTTGTCGGATGGCATAGACATTTAGTGCCGGGCATGGTTAATGTTATGGCTGCCTTCGCATGCCTTATACTGCTATACCTCCCAATGCCACTCCCCTAACCGCTTGGACATTTTTGTGTGAAAAGTGTGAAAACCAACGTTATGGCCAACTATATGGGACGCGTCATGCATGTAAATGAAGGATTTCCCCCAAATGAATTATAAACCAAAATTAGCATATATTTAAGAAAAGGTACAAATGTACATATATTATACATTTTGACTGCATGCTTACGATAGTTCAGGAACTAGAGCACCTATCATAACTAAATGAGATCATAATTAAATCATTTATAATTAGAAGTGAAAACTCTCTTGAATAGAACATGTGTGGAAGTCAGTCTGTTACGGCAAAAGTAAAATTTCTAATGTTTTTCTTGATTTTTTTACATTTAATTAGGAATTTAAAATTTAATTCTAAACAATTACAGTAATAAATCATACCAAAACTTTTATTTTTAAGATTTTACTTAAGATTTTAGTTTTAAATTGCTAAGAGGGTTAAATGTAGGAGTTTTTATATGGGATTTCGGATAATTCAATATTTTGAATATGTAAACTAAACGTTTTCTCGGTTCTAATATGTTGAAAATGCAAAATGGAAGCATTGGACAACGGAAAACTTAGTAAGAAAATTAGTCATAGTCTAAGATAAATATATACGGTAATATGTACATTATTTTGCTTGGCAAGTAACAGCCGAGTAATTAATTTGTCCCCATTTGATGGTGTCGTTTTTGCAGTGAAACTCATTTCTAATCTGACTTCTCTGTTGATTCAATTCACAGCACGTGTAGAAATAAATCGTATTGTAGCCCAAATCTATTACAACTACTACACGCCGATGGCTTTGGTGAACGGAGCACCGATGTACCTGACATATCCGAGCATCGAGCAGGGCCGCTATGGAGCACACTTCACCCACCTGCCACTCACGCAGATTCGTCCGCCGACGCCCGAGCCGCTGGCCCTGAGCCGCTCCCCATCCAGTCCCAGCGGTGCGGCGGCCCATACACATCAGAAACATTCGCGGCCCGGCAGCAGCAATGGCACCGTACATTCGGCCGCATCGCCCACAATGGCGATCACCACAATGGCGAGCACCTCAACGCCCACCCACCGCCAAAGGTCCCGCTCGGGCACGCCCTCCACGCCGCCTCCGCCGCCGCCGGCGCATAGCAGCAGCAACGGAGCCTACCATCATGGTCACCATCTGGTCAGCTCCACGGCTGCCACGTAGCAGTATCGCAATGTTGCCGCCGCTGTGGCAGCAGCAGCAGCGGCAGCCGTCCTCTTTGTGTAAGTAGAAAAGCAAGCAGAGGAGAAAGTAATTGAAGATCCAATATATGAAAGATATGGCTAACACACCCAGGAAACTCTTTCGTTTCAAGAGATTTATCGACTTTATTAGCTAAATAATTGATTTACAGAAAATGAGGTGCTTTTACATATATGTAAATGTCTACTTATTATGATACAAACGTATATTTGGACGAACACACGCAGATTTATGGACAGTAGTTATTACTTAATTGGTTTTTTGATGCAAGTTTCTCTTTGTTGCACCTCTAGCAATAGCAAGCCAAGCCTCGAACACACTCGAACTTCACTGTGTGATTGTGTTTAGTAAATGTCTAAAATCGAACAGTTTAACCATCGCACGAAAGTCTCCACCAACTCTTTCTATAATTTAAGGTGTTGCAATTCAGCAAGTCAATAACCTCAGATTTTATTTTAGAGAAATGGGAAAGAAAATGGAATGGGCCAGCACATGCAATAAAAAGGAGATTCCCTTTAATCATATCTCCTATTTTTCATATTTAAATGTACTTACAGTATTTCATATTTAAAATGAGATCAATTGTATCTAAGAACAATCAATATAGAATTGTTTTTTTTTTGTCATTTATTGTGGACCATAGAAGAGAATAATTGCGTACATATATCGTGAATTTCAATCATGCAGCTTTATTACGCAGCTGGGACGAGAAACCTAACACTTTTGCTAGAGAGCCTTGAATTCGAATAGATTTAGTGGCCATGCTGCAATTTTCTCACTTCCAACTCATTTCGCATGCTGGCCCAGGCGCTTTTCCTTTAATCAAATCAATTTCGCAGCATAGTTTTATGTTTACAATTTAGGTTGGCTGCCTTTCCGGGCCATGTCCTTCCGAGCTCCTGGTGCCAAAGCTTTCCTTTTTGCGCCACGTTGCTTTTTGTTTTCGGTTTGTTGTTGCTGTTGCTTTTGGGTGCATTTCCGGACTGCGCACGAAAGTATGCAATGGCTTTTTCATCATTTGTCCTGATGACTGCAACGTGGGCAACAAAAGCTTCCTCGTCTCGCTTGCTGCAGTCTGCAGATGAAAAACAATTCCTCTTGGATGGCCCAGTCTCTGTCCCAGCCCCGTACCCCGTACCCCTGCCGCTGTCCCTGTCCGGGCTTTCGGGTGCCGACAATTGAAGCATTTTGGCCATTTCTTGCCAGGGCATTGTTGCCGCTCTTGCCGCTCCTGCCGCTGCCTGGCTGCTGCACTTTGCAGTTGCTTAATTCAGAAGCAAGTGTTAAATTTCCATGCTGGCTGGCATTTTTGTTGCCCCCCTGGTTTCAGGGAGACGAACGGGACGACGAGGCTGGCGTTTTGTTCCCAGCATTTGAGCATTTTGTTGCCTTTTGTTTTGCTAAGCGATTTGCTTTAATTAAAAACTCAAGTGGCGCCCCAGAAGCGGCAAGGGGCATCTCCGGTTGCCCTGTCGCAGATGGAAATAGTGGGAGGGGGATGAGGTTCTCAGGTTCGTTGGCAGCCACAGATATCATAATGCTGGGCATCAGAACTTTCGCTTCGCACATTTTACGATGCTCCCCCCCTCGCGGACCAGACCGCGAAGACGACACTTCAGAATGCATATTTCAATGTTTTGGTCTCGTCAATGGTAATAAAACAAAAACGCATTGCACAAATATGAAAGAGCAAGAGCTGGCATCTAAATCTTGTCTCTTGTCTAGGAATCGCCCTGCGTTCTCGGCCCTTCGATTGTTTTTCGCGCGCCCTTGCGGCACATTAAAAACCTCAACTCGCCTCGACTCGACTCACCTCTCACTGCACTCCTGTGGCAATCGCATCAAAGAGACGCAACGCTGTGTTCGGTTTTTATGGGTCTGGATCATAAAAACCGAAACTGAATCGCACAAGAGCTGCGTGGAAATATTTTTTCACCACTCTTGGCTGCCTGGCTAGCACTCGTACGAGTAAGTTGGCAAAAGTATTTGTGCCTTCTTCTAAGCCTAGAGCACACTTTGGGTTGCAATTAAATTTTTCCTTTGAGAGGGCGAGACTACAAAGTCGAAGAGTGAGATCTCGTAAAACTATCACAAAGTTCATTTAACTCTGTGACGAATGGGGCAGAGACAGGGACATGGCTGGGGCTAGGGCATGGGCATGGCCATGGGGATCTGCCAAATCAAACTTATTAAAAAGAAGCAAAAAAAAATAGTAGAATAGGAAGCAAACATCAAGAACAACAAACAATTATTCCGGGCAAAACTCGAACCCATAAAAGCGGGCAAACAATACCGAAAACTTTTACGAGCCTTGGGGAGATCCTGGCAAAAGCAGTTCCTTGAAAGCATATCATTCGCAGAGACACAAATACAAATACACACCGGGCACCGAGCAGCACCAGGAGCAAATATCCTTTCGAATGGCACTTCAATTCCGTGCCAAGTCGCCTTTTGTTGCCGTGGCCAAAATGGCAATAAATGCATAAGTTTCCATTTTACGATATTGTGTTTCCATTTTCTGCCACGCATTTCCGTAGACAATACTCCGCACCTTTTCCCGCTCGTAGTAGGTACAGGGGAAAGGTAGGTAGTTTTTGCTTTTATATTTCTAGTCAGATCATATTTTTCTCTTCTGTAATTTGACTGATGTTTTGGCACATCAAAAGTGTCAAAGTGCCAAAACAAGAGACACAAAACAGACAGAATTTTTAAAGTAATAGAAAATAAATTATTGACAACCATTGACATCATTTTCAATGGTATTTAGCAAGTCAAATTATCAAAAAATTCCCTTGGGGAAAATGTTTAAATTGCAGAGGACAAAGCTCTGTCTTTATACACTAAAATGTCTAAATAATAAATCTGAATACTGTTCTAAAATCATTGGTCTTCGAGTTGAAGTACACACATACATAAATATGTACATTTAAAATGTTATGACAATTTCTGGCAACTCTCAAGATCTCAAGACCAAATGCGTCAAACTGCCGACTTCCGGCTCGCTTCCAGAAGAGCAGCAACTTTGTAGTCTCTCCACTTTGATCGCGGCTCGACAAAGCTTAAGTATGCAAAGCCATTTAACAAACATTAACACAGAAAAAATGTATATAGCCGAGTGGATATGATTGTTGCCATACAATTTCCGCTGATTTCTAATTTCCGCTGACTTGTCATTAAAAGTAAATCCCTTCATTTTGATGCTTCACAGCCATCGTCCCTAGCCCCAACTCCAGGTCTGGCATTGGCCCTGCTCACTGCCCGGAGGCAGCCATAATAAATGCAATGCTTGCCATAAAAATAAAAACACAACAAAATAAAGGAATACGAAACAAAAATGTTATAGTTTTCTGTGAGCGAGTGTCGAGGTTTCGGTTTCAGCTTACGCTGCTCGAATTTCGCTCTGCTCTTGCCACCAAATGGGGCTCTTGCTTTACACAGCTCCTCCGCGACACTCCGCGACACTCTCCGGCACGGCTTGGGCACAATCGGTTCAATTCCAGCCGCTCGTACTCTTGCATTCATGGGTATTTTGTTTTTTCCTTTTTGTTCTTTTTGGTGCTCGTTCGTGTTTATTGTTCCTCATCGTCTTTCGTGTGCCTTCGCGTGCACAGTGCACAGGGCTCCTCGCTGTTTATGGGGTCGGCCGCGCTACGCTTCCTCTTCACCCTGGTTTTTAGTGGACACGCATTATTAAAAAATAAACAATAATGTATGATGTATACAAAACCGAACCCGCATCCGAATCCGAATCCGAAACCAAACCCAACTGACTCGTAGCAGAACCGCATCATTTTCAGCTACTCCTTTTTCGGTGGAAAATATTTTCGTGGCCATCGTAAAAAGTTGACGCGAGCAGAAAACCGAAACGCAGAGAATCAATCCAACAAAAGATGTGAGGATAATAGAGAATAGTGGGTACTCTACGAACAGAACTTGACGCTGACAAGCGTAGAACATTATACAAATTCGATTCATTCTTGTGTTCTGTGTTATGGAATATATTCATCATTTATGTTTCTACTTTTAACAATTGAATTGAAAGTGGATGGGCCCGAAAGTGCCCAAGAGTTGTATAGGGTAGTACACAGAGTGCTTTTCAGTGTTCGCTTGGGCTCAAATTAGTTTGTGTGCGACAATTAGAAATCAGGCAAAGCGAATCGAGAAGCCAGAATCAGGGTCTTGCCGCATTATCTTAAAACGCGTCGTAAAAATCACATTTCGCATTATAAAAATCAAGCTCTCGGGTCGCCAGAGCCAGCTGCTCCCCCCCCCCCCCACCATATTGTACAGACTGTCCGTAGTAGCCAGCCACTTGGACTCTTCGTGGGCAACGGCTGCTATAAAAATGACTTTTACGAGCGCCAGAGCAGCGCTTATCCTTCTGCGTCCGAGGACGCGCTTACCTCAGGGCGGCAGGTAAGCAGGCCCGAGACTGAAGTCTGTCTTGATGTTGATGCGACGTCTCCCTGACCGTTGTTATTGACTGACTAACAGACATTACAATGATTTTAATGGTTTTTATGGCTGAGACATTGCGCCCATATGGGCGCAATGGTATAGTGCTATTAAAAATTGTTTTATGCCGATGACGAGCTTAAGCATATTGCCAATTCAATATTGAACCTAACTTATTAATGAAGCACGAATTTTGATTAAAGTGCCATTCCAAGATAATAATTTGATGCCATTAACACTTGCCTTTTTCTTTCCGCAGCGATAATTAATGTTATCAGCCAGCTTGATCGAAGGCCAGACAGACCCCAGGAAGGAACGCAATTCCCGATCCTAACTAATGCATGAATGTTACATATTCATATGTATAGTCTCTAAGCAACGGACGAGCATATTTCACGATAAATTAGAGAAGAGTAGGAATAGGTTATCCCAAGAACACATTTTCAAATTGATCTCAACAAAAATATTAAATAAATAAAAATATATCTTATCTCGTTGATGGATGGAGTGGTCTGAAAGCTTGATGGATCCATCTATTTCTAGTAAACCCTAACTCGTTATTCATTTGTAATATATGTGAATGTACTACATGTATGTTTTGTATATAAAAGATTTAACACTGAAACCTTTCTCTGCGAGAAACTGTTCGAGAATCTATCACTGACCTGCACAAATCTAAAATAAAAATTATTTCAGTAGACATAGACAAATAGAAATACATTTGAATGTACGAGTAAATAAACGATTTCTAGTCCTAGGCTTGAGCACGTCCATTCGGAATCTAGAACACGAAACTGTACAGGCAGCAACTGGTAGTATGAGGGATCCTAATCAAACTTGTTCTTACATATGATATGAGATTATCAGCTTGAAGAATACAAATATTAATTTTCTCTAACTATACATAGATATTTATGCACGAGTATATCCATATATCAGATAAATATATTACACTTTCTAGGGCTGTGCGCTGCCATGTAAAGAAAGCATGCGGTTTAATACTTTGTGAGAACTGATCTAGCTGATCTGAAAATAGTGTAGCGTCGGCTATGTAGAAACTTTACTATGCTTAAGGCTATTTCTTTTGTTTCCTTATGCATTACCGGCTTTTATCCTTTGTACGGTTTTTCCAAACAACAAAACACAAAACAACAAAAAAAAACAACCAAAAATGTTATGCTAATCAAATTGTAGTTGAATTTGTTCGTATTTGCTTAAGCTGAGAATGCGATTAAGGAAGATTAAGATTACATATACATATAAACTAAGGAAATTAAACATTAATAATACACACATTTCAATTTAAACGGAACTCATTGTAAACCACTTAACAATTCAAAAGGTATCGTAGATAAATTAAATACAAGTGCTTCAAAACAAAGAAATACAAACAAAAAAATAAAAAACAACTTCGGAATAACTAAAAATAAAAATGTTGCTGTAAATAAAATGAACTCTGGTTTGTGTGCTAAAAACTAACGAGACTCGGCGGCCGTCTCAAATTCCAAACAGACCCTTGAGGTCATCAATGGTTAGCTTTGAGCTAACTCCGGTGCCGGTTAGGACGCCATTGGCCAGCTCCAGTTTATGCTCCTGCAAACCCAGAATACGCTGCTCCACTGTGTCCAGGCACACAAACTTATATATCTTCACGTCCTTCTTCTGCCCAACGCGATAAATGCGGTCTTGGGCCTGGGCTTCGAGCTGCGGATTCCAGTGCAGGTCAATCAGCAACAAATGATTGGCTCCAATCAGATTTAAGCCCACACCGCCAGCGGTGAGTGAGAGCAACAAAATGCGGTTCGGATTGCGCTGATCATTGAACTGGTTCACGATTTCTTGTCGATTCTTTACCGGAACGGAGCCATTCAGTGAAAGGGTCGGCATGTTATCACTCTCTAGGTGATCGCGCAGTATGTGTAGCACCGATGTCCATTGCGAGACTATAATGGCCTTGTCGTTGTTGTTCTTCAGAATTGAGGACTTTAGTATTTCCATCACCTTGAGCATTTTCGTTGAGGGACGCTTCATGTTGAAAACTGGATTGCTGCGCTTTAGCACATGTTTGGAAGCCTTGGCAATGCGAGCCTCGTCATGTTCATTCCCCTCACGGCTGCCTTGACTGCCACGGCTTCCCTGACTCGGAGAAGTGGAGACGTCTGTAATGGCCAGCTTATTGAGCTGCGCCAGTAAATCAATCTCAGGAGATTCTCCATCGCTGTCGTCAGCATCCAAACTCTTTACTTCCTCTCCTTCCAGCATCTAAAAGTAAGTTTAATCGTGAACCACGCGTACCACTTTGTTCCCGTATCATTAACTTACCGAATCAATCAGACCTGGATGGCAGCATATCTGGCGCAGACGCAGCAGAAGCAGCAATATTTCGTGAGACTTTACCTCCTTTTGGTGGCCTGCCATTCTGGCGAACTTCTCGTGCAATTTATAGTAGGCGCCATTAGGATCCTTAATTTGGTTATATGTGGGCTTGCTGGCATCGGAAATGAAGTTGTTGTCCGTGTCTTTCTCTGCGCGCTGGAACAGGAATTGGGCAAACAATGTCCTGGAATATGTCATGACCGTCTGGTACACGTTCATCTCGTCCTTGTCGAGAGAAATCTCAATCTTATGCATCTGCTTGGCGGGCAAGCTGTTCAGTTTTCCCTCCAGCTGCAACTGTGCTTTGGTGCGCCTGAGCATAATGGACTTCATCAGCAAATTGAGACGGTTCTGTCCTCCAGCACTTTTGTTGTCGATCCATTTCTTCCAGGTGTTAAGATCGTCAAACGGCGAACAGCGCAGGAACTTCAACAGCGCATAGATATCTAGTTCCTTGTTTTGTATGGGTGTGCCAGTCAGTGCCCAGCGGAACTTGCCGCGCAGTTCGCTTACTGCGATCGACGCCTGCGACTTGTGGTTGCGCACCACATGGGCCTCATCCAGTATGATGCGACGCCACTTGACACCAAACAAGGCACTCGACTCCTTGTGCTCCCTGCCCACAATGTTGTAGGTGGTCACCACGATGTCGTATGTGCGCAGGTGTTTGGCTTTTGTCTCGCGGTTGTTGCCATGATGCACGCACACGGTCAACCGATGACGCGAGACCTTGGACTCGACCTCTGCCTCCCACTGACGCAGCAAGCTGGCAGGGCACACGACTAAGGTGCCACCGCGATGAGCTGCAACGACCACAATTAACAAGTTAAGAGAAGCTTTAACATTGGGTGGACATTATTCAACTTACTATCTGTGCGGCCCTTTGAGGTCCATCCACCTACGCTTTTCCGCTTTGTGTCGCTCTCTGCCTCGCCGTCGCTATCCGCCTGGCCCCCAGAATCGCTCTCCTGGCGGTTCTTGCAGGCGAGAACCGATGAAATCATTGTCAGGGTCTTGCCCAAGCCCATGTCGTCGGCCAAGATACCGCCACGTGGACTCTGCTTCTCGCGCCAAGACATCCACGCCAGCGCATGCTTCTGGTGATCCATTAAAGTAACCTTCAGTCCCTCTGGATCGTCGGCAAGAACGTCCGCCGCAGGACAGTCCTTCAGCGATCCATGTAGATCCTAGAAAAACGAAATATTAGTCAGGCTGCTTCAGGGCGGTAGATGGTTACCCGTGGGACGTGTTCAGGTAATGAATTCTTAATCCCGGAATGCCCTTGGACAGACGCCGCACAGTAACTCGTGCCCAGCGACCGCCAAATTGGAACATTCTCAGATATCCGTTCTGAGTCATCATCAATGAAAGACCAAAAAGTCAGTTAGCAAAGCAGTTGAAAGTTTTAGCACGCACCTTAAGGGATTCCAGAGTTAAGGCTTTCTGTGTGTTGAACGTGGCCATTCCCTGAGTTCCAGTGTATTTGGGTTGGATCGAGTTGACCGCTGCCGACAGGTCACTCCAGTCAGGTGTATCGTTGTGGGACTTGACAGGCGCCTTCAACGCGGTTGTCACCTTGACTGCTGGAATGCTGCTCTGATCTATTATAAGGCTGCTCATCATATTACTTTTCCGCTCAATTTCCCGACCCAAGGTATCGATACGCTGCTTGATTTGCTTGCCTTTGTCCGGCAGCTTTTGGGCCACTTTCTCATAGAGCTTTTCGGCTTCAATCTTTTGGGTGCGCATCTCCATCAGCTTGCGCATCTCCTCCTGATGATACTCTTGAGTTACCTTTTTATTTGCATTTTTTAACGGGGAACGGCGAGGAGCATTCGGGGAGACGCTCTGTTTGAACGCCGTCTGTATGGTAGGCTGCATGAGGCTCTTAATGGGCTTAGGGATTAGTGCTCCAGCGCTACTGCGGGGCGAATAGGACCGGCGCACGGGTGACGGAGCAGGCAAGTTTTCCTTATTGATGCTACTTTCATCATCCGTGCTTGAGATTTCAATGGGAGTCTCCTTGTTGCTTAAAATCAGGACATCGCTGTCTCCCGATTCGTCGAGTACCTCTTCAGTGATCCCTGGGAATACTGTTGAGTGCAAAGTCTCCTCGATGTTTCCCACAAACTGCGTGCTGTAGCGTGGCGAAGCTCTTCCGCCATCTATGGATTGTCGACCCCGTGGGGCATTCCCATCCGAGCCCTCGCCTTCCTCGTTGTAGGTCTTTTCAGGTGTACCTGGTGACGCCTCTTGGTCGCTGTAGTCAATCTCACTGGAGTCATCGCTCAGATCCTGTGGACGTACACCTGTAATACTCATACGCGTGCTTGGCGATAGCGCGCGCGAGTCCAACTCATCTTCATCCTCGCTGTCTGATGCGATCACAGCACGACGATGCCTCGGCTTAGCCCTTTCATTTTCCGACTCCGACTCGGTTTCGTCAATAATTACGCCAGAATTACTATTGCGGGTGCTGCCACCACTGCTTTGGCGGGAAGAGTGGCTTGACCGCACTGCAGAACAATGGCATGTATGTTAGTGTATAGATTGTATCACATAAGAAATCATTGTACAAATACCTGAAACAGTGCTGCCGATTGCCTCGTCTTCCTCGTTGCTGTAATACTCCTCACTGTCACTGGACATCTTATTTATTTTAAAATTTATAAATGTATATGTTTATGCACGCTTGTAAACTCAGCGCCATTTAATTAGGGTTGTCAAATATATCAAAATATAAAAATATCAAAATATTATAAAATATTTCACTGCAAAAATATCGATATCCCATTGAGCTCCCATAAAGAAAACATATGTTTATAACATCTTTAATCCTTATTCCACTCTTCTGTGTTTTTAACTTGACTTATTCAATTATTTGCATCTAGCACACCTCACACCTCACAAAAAACCCCACTGCTGCATAAATTGCAGTAATTGCAGTAATTGGGACCAAAGCACTAACCATACAGTCAATGCACTAACCCACACATTCGGTGTCCGTGTAAAGTCGAGAAAACCACAGTTTAGTGAGCTAAACGAATAGGGACGTGTGAAACGCTTCATACAGAAACGGCTATTGATGCTGATCAATACTACTCACAACAGATTATATATTCTTTATGATGTCAGAAACATTTCCTTCTGTGCTTTACATACATCCACTTTTGCGCTCAAATACAGTATACCCTATATATTTATTTCGATCCTTGATATATCAAAAAATATCGCAAAAACATATAAATATATTGATATTTTGCGAAAAAAAATCACGATTTACATATATTTTTATTTTAAAAAATATCGATATATTGATATTTTGATATATATTTGACAACCCTAGTCCCAGCTGGTACTTTCATACTGCATTTCAAAAGTGTTTTGGCGTGTAAATTTATTGATTTATGCTACTTTTTATAAAATTATAGTAGCCATGTCAGAAACAGGACTACCAGATTACCTCGCCAAGTTCCAGGCCGAGGACGAGGAGAGGGTGATGAGCATGTTCGATGAAAGCGAGAAGGAGTTAGCCCTCCAATTGTATGAACCCTGCGTACGTAAAAATGATCAACAAAATCAAACCAAAAGCATCCATTTACAAACCATAATCTAAACATAATGCAGAAGATCACGCCTGCGGATCTGCAGCGAGAGTACAGCCCGGAGGAGGTGAGGGAGCTCTGTTTACGTACGAAAGTACGCGTCAACATGAGGGACCTCAACTGCTTATGGGACGCCAAGGAGCGGCTGGGTCCCCGCTTGGACAATCGCTCGGAGAGCTACACCAATCGGATGCTCATCAAGTCGGTGGTCAGGAAAATGGTGGAACCGTACACTGACGAAGAAGTGGCCCATTATAATCTCGTCAAGAGAAGCTGGCTGAAGAAGCGGAACATTATGCGACTGGAGTGTTGGAAGCGTGAACGTGAGTCCCAGTCCGAATCTATTTCTGTCCCGTCTCTGGTGGACATTTCATCGCAATTTGACTCGGCGACGGATATGTTGCAACTGGACACTGAGCACCCTGAGCCGTTACCAGTCACCTTTGCTCAGCCAATGCCTTTGTCTGTTGTCGAAGACACAGGAGAACATGATGTGCAGAACGTCACACAGTCAGGCGACTTGGAAAATGTTTATATGAAGACTGAGCCGGAGTTGTGGGGCATTGGGGATGAGAGTGACACTGTGTCGTTGCCATCAGAAAGTCAAAGTCAACAAAACAGTTCAGTTATAAATGTGCCCGATATGGATTGGGTGCAGGCGGGCCTACAGATAAACTCAGAGGCCTTGTCCTTGCAGCTGTTAAACAGCACGCAATCGCAGCCAATCTTAAGTGAGGATTACAATCAATTTGGTACACAAGTGGCGGTTGCATCAACACAGGAGGATGCATCAACACTATTGGATGTTTAAGAATGTATCTGTTGTTGCTCTGAGTGTGTGTGTGTCGTATCAAAACTTTATCAAAAACACTTGTCGATTACAATTTATAGTATATTAAGAAACCTTAACTAACAATACAATTTGGTTTCGTCCTTCGATTGAGCAACTATCCTAATGAATCTATTGATTTCGTTCAAGTGGATTCTTGATGCTGTCGTGGCCACAATGTTGGTGGAGTGAAATGTTGTAGTGAAAAGAAAATGTACTAGCTTAATGTTAGAGCCAACAAGTTCGTATAAATAAGAATCAAGTCAACCCAATTGATTTGCTGGGAAGGTAATGCAAATAAACCATTTGTCACACGACCCATTAATATATGTCCCAATGAATATTCATTAAGAGCAGGGAAAATACTTTAAGATATATTTACAATATTAAGTGCCCAGAATTGGGAAAATATTTGCACATGTCACAGATAGTGTAGTGTAGAGACACGCCTAGTGCTGTCTTTTGCAATGAATTAAACATTGAAATGTGGAAAATCTGAGTGATTAAACCAACCAATAAAGGACACGCTTAAGAAATAATTTATTCCATTTGTGGGGCAAACATATTTTGCTTTGGATAGGGAAATAAGAGTTAATCAGAAGCCATGCCTGATCAAACATGATTGACGATGGAGGCAAGTCTAGGCCTATAAAATGAAATATAAATGTTTCTGTCAGATAACTCGGAGCTGGTGTTGGCCAAAAACATGAGCGTAGAATTTACGCCGTAGACAAAGCCAATTCCGAATACTTCTTAGCTTTTGAATCGATTAAATGGAATTACACTTGGGGACCTCGAAGTTCTCATTTGATTCCCTTTCAGATTGCTGTGGAAAGTAAGTCATAGCTAAGCAATTAAACCAAATTCAGGTGAGTGTTTCGTAAAGCAAATACCATTAAATCGGTACCATTACTCACAATCCGTTGACAACTGAGCACCAAGCAAATCCGCGGTAACAGTGGCCACTGCGTCGGTTTCCAGTACCAGTACCAGTTGGGACTCGGACCCAGCCATAAAACAGCAAACACTTGGTGCAAATCAACCCCGAGGCGATAACAAGCAGATGCCTCCAACAGCAACGGCTGCAGCCTCACCAGAACGCTCAACAGTTCTCCAATTCCGAACTGAAATCAGTTCCCCACCGACAGCGACAGACACCGGTAGCGCTCCCTAATATTACAATTGATTTGGTAGGGGAAGTTTATCCGTACATCAGTGTAAGTGTCAGTGTGATTGAGTGTTTTGTGAGTGTAGAGTGTGAATACACTCATTCTTTTGGAGTCTGCCAAAGTCGCGTTCAAGTTAGTTCTCTGATTAAGTGCGCGTCCAACCGGTTTGGCTAATAGGAAAAGCAAAAACAGTGCATGAGTGCATTTTGTGTGAGCTGCAATCGATCGACCTTGAGATGCGGAAGTGCTGAAGACTTCTAACAGCAGACCGTTGAGAGAGAAATGTCTGCACCCTCTTGGGGAGCTCCTACTAATTATTCTGATGTCGATAACCCCAGATCATACGCCCAACCGCAACAGCAAATGATCTGTAGGAAGTCTCTCGTTTCTGATTCGTTTTGTTGAGTTAATTTATTGATTGGTTGACGACACGTTCGTTTACCTTTTCGCAAAACATATGGTTACTGGGTCACCTGACAATGATTTGGTCTTGAACCGCAGTTCAGGCAATTAGAAATTAGAGTCCATCGAAGCGTTGGCAAATTGTATAGCCATTGGATAACTCTTGGGGGCAACAGGCCAAGCCACACATACATATACCCTACCCCCACACACACACACATCTACAATAGAGGATGGCAGTGCTGATTCTGATTGATAAATGGGACACGTTTGCTAATCTCGGTCAGAGTCGCTAATTAAAAGGTTTAAGGCCAAAATTAGCATATGAAGCAATTGCAATTACAACGAACTGCAACATCCACGTCGCCACAGTGGCAGTCACAATGATCTACGCACAAGCACGAGCAGATAGGTACACCCTTGTGTGTGTGTGTGTGTGTGGTTTGTTCATGAAACTAAAATTCAGACCCTCAGGCATGTATGCAAAAAGCGTGAATGAAGTGATCAGGGGCACAGCTAGAAGGTGCAGCTGTGTGAGTGGGTGGTAGGCACATAAAATGGCATCGCATAACCTCACGCACCTTTAATTCCCTTTAAGCTCTACACACACACGGAGACTATAGGCTATAGGTTCTTTCCAGCCACATGTGTGAATGGTGAGATTACAAAATTATAAACACCAATGAGAGAGATTCTTTGCGAGGAAACTCTCAACTTACACACCAAAAGAACGAACCAAATGTATTCCCAGTGCGTATTACTCGTCGTACCTATCAGAATTCAAAGGCCCCACACACACACACACAATAAACCTGTGTCCAGTGTCCGCTTGGGTAGCTGCAATTGTTTTGTGAAATTAAATTAAATTGATTGAATTTAGACAGAATTCAGCTGTGAGCATCGCTACGAGCAGGAGGTGCCTAGAGGTCAATGCGGAGGTGCATGTGCTGGAGACTCTCTCTTACTGTGCTTTTTGTGTGTCGTTGGTTGATGGTTGATTGATGTGGTTGTTGCCTGCTGCTGCTCTGTGTGTATGATTGTTGTTGTTGCCACTATTCCAGTGATAATGACACAAATTTCTGAATGATCTGAGCTTTGTGGCTTTTGTTTGCCATTTGTGTTGATTAACACACACAATCACTCGCACTCGGAAGATCTTATTAATGGAACTGGATATGCTGCTATTATTGTACGTGCACTTGAATGAGGTTAATAGGTCACAGCCAAGAAGTTGGCTAATTCTATTAAAGGTTCATTGAGTTCATTGAGCGATTAAGTTTCCATTTTCAAAGTATTTCAAATAACTTTTAGATCATGATGGCCATAATTGATAATTGAGTTATCTTTGATTTAAGTAGCTCCAAATGACTGCCGAGAGTAAATTCAATTGTAATACACCCTAGTCCAATGATAGCTTCGAGAACATAATCAACATATATCTTTGACAGTTCAAATTTGAAACCGAATCCAGTCAAATCCTAGATCCCAGTGAGTAACTAAATAATTCGAATATTGTTGTAGAATTCTCAAAGAAGAGATCAAAGATTTGTGGATATCCACAACTGACTAACTAATTCAAACCACAACACACCCCCGCCCGAGCGTTCATTTAGGCGCCGACGCTGCTGCTGGTCGGGCGCTCAATTGGCTGTCGCGCGCCGTGATTGCGCATCCCACGTTCCATGTCGGATCGTGCGGTTGTCTCGGTTGTAGCGGCTGTCCTCAGTCTACAAGTCTTTGCAGTCTTTACATTCTCCGTTCTTCAGTCCGGTCTCCAGTTCTCGATCCGACAGTCCACTCGCGATCTCGGTTACGTCCAGTTCAGCCTGAGCCCGGTTCACCAACTGCGTCGTGCGAAAAAATTGGGTTTAATTAAAGTATAAAGGCCACAGAGGCAGCTCAATTACTGCGGCTCGGCGCGACCAGTGAGTGAGTGCCATGAGTCGGCATAGCCAGCTGAAGCTAGCGATGCCATCGGTGGCATCAATGGCATCCGTGCACGGGTCTTCGTCGGAGCGGGAACGCGGCGTCAGGCTGGGATTGGGTGTTAACCAGCAGACGGGCCGGGTGCAGTGGTGTCCCGGCCTGACCTGCTGCAAACTGCTTCTGTTGCTTCCAGTGGTGATGTTGCCGTTGACTCTGGTGCTAATTCTGATCATGCGGCTGGACGGGATGCTGGCGGCGCTGCAGCTGAGCGAGCAGCGGATGCGGGACCAAAGGGCAGCCACGGCCACGGCCAACATGCCCGGCTACATGGAGAGCTACGAGTCGCTGCTGCCGGAGGGCGAGACCTACAACGAGCTGATCCACGACGAGTTCCTGGTGCCGCAGGCCAAGCGCTCCCACCTGGAGCAGCAGATGGCGGAGCGGGCGAGGCGCTGTCAGCCGTATCGCTATGGCAACGGGGAGACCATGGATCTGGAGGATCGCAGCACACTGATGAAGGACTCGCGCACCTCCTTCCTGCCGCAGGGCATGCCGCGCGAGTGCATCTCCAACTCCGACTTTGACTTAGACTTCCAGTCGATGCCCGACAGCGACCTGGAGGATGATGGGGAGCTGCTGCGGGAGTTGCATCGCTTCCAGAAGAAGTCCGCACCCAAGAGATACAAGGACTTTGCGCCATACTGGCTGGAGCTGAGTCGCCAGCGTCGCGAAGCTGAGCAGCAGCGGGAGGCGGGCGACGAGGAGCTGGCGGCACAGATCAGCGAGACGACCGCCGCCCTGCAATCCTTCTGGAATGAGGAGGGCACGCGGGACGGCATTCGGCTGGCCCAGGCCCAAACCATGAAGCGCTACATGGACACCTCGGTGGATCCCTGCGAGGACTTTTACAAGTTTGCGTGCGGCAACTGGGAGAAGCTCCATCCCATACCCAAGGACAAGGCTGGCTTCGACACCTTCGAAATGCTGCGCGAGAGTCTCGACCTCGTGCTACGGAATCTGCTCGAGAAGAGCACACCGCCCGCCATCGTGCCGGAGGAGCGCAACATTCAGGTGCGCAACAATCTGAAGCTGAACGAGCAGGGCATGGAGCCCGAGACGGAGACGGACCAGGCCGCCGAGCTGGTGGCGAAGCGTCTGCGCCGGCACATTGTCAGCCGGCGGCACTTGCTCAACCGCATCCTGATGCGCTACAAGCGATTCACCAACAGCACCAAGCGGAAGCGCCTCATCGACCCTACGCGCGAGAAGACCAAGGAGGAAGTGGCTGCCGCCCTGCCCGCACCCAATGCCAAGGACAAGCAGCGGCATGTGGTGGATGCCAGCGAGTACCTGAAGACGCGCCACGATGCCCAGCTCAAGGCCAAGCAGCTGTACAGGTCCTGTGTGAACAGCCAGCTGCTTGCCCGTCGCGGACTGGAGCCATTGCACAATATTATCCGGGATCTGGGCGGTTGGCCAGTGCTCGACCAGCAGTGGAGCGACACCAACTTCAACTGGCAGGCACTGGCCGCCACTTTGCGGCGCTACAACAACGACATCCTCATCGTGCAGTGGGTGGGAGCGGACATCAAGAACTCGGAGGAGAACATCATCCAGTTCGATCAGACTGGTCTGGGCCTGCCCACCCGCGAGTACTTCCTGCAGCCGAGCAACGGCAAGTACCTGATGGCCTACCAGCGCTACATGTCCGAGGTGATGCACAAAATGGGTGCAGCCAAGCGGGATGCCCTCAGCACGGCCAGGGAGCTGATTGCCTTTGAGACATCGCTGGCGGGCATCACAGCGCCAGCGGAGCAGCGACTCAACGTAACCAAGGTAAGGGGGATTTGGAGTCCAGAAGCCACACACCACACACAGCTCCCCCTCTCTCTTTACAGCTGTACAAACGCATGACGCTGCAGCAGCTGGAGGAAGTGGTGCCGGAGATCGGTTGGAGTGCCTATCTGAGCACGCTGCAAGATCGTCAGGTGAGTGACTCGGAGGAGGTTGTCATCTATGCGGTGGACTACATGAAGCAGCTGGTGACGCTGCTGGCCGAGACAGAGCCCCGCACCATTGCCAACTACATGATGTGGCGCTTTGTGCGGCATCGCATCAACAATGTGGACGATCGCTTCGATGACATCAAGCAGACGTTCTACCACGCTCTGTTCGGGCGGGAGGAGAGTCCGCAGCGGTGGAAGGTGTGCATCGCTCAGGTGAACACGAACATGGGCATGGCGGTGGGCTCCATGTTCGTCACGCGCTACTTTGACAACAACAGCAAGCGTGACACGCTGCGCATGACCCATGACCTGCAGCAGGCCTTCCGGGACATACTGAAGACGACGGATTGGCTGGATCCGATCACCAAGCATCTGGCCGAGGAGAAGGTCAACGCCATGTCCCTGAAGATCGGCTATCCGGACTTTATACTCAATCCGGGTGAACTCAACGAGAAGTACGCGGGCATCGACATCCATCCGGAGAAATACTTTGAGAATACGCTGAACGTGCTCCTCCACACTGCCCGCACGGAGCAGTCGAAGCTGCACGAGCGCGTGAACAAGACCAACTGGCAGACGGCGCCGGCCATCGTGAATGCCTACTATAGCCGCAACAAGAACCAGATCATGTTCCCAGCCGGCATACTGCAGCCTCCGTTCTACCATCGACACTTTCCCAAGTCGCTGAACTTTGGTGGCATCGGCGTGGTCATTGGCCACGAGCTAACCCACGGATTTGACGACAAAGGGCGACTCTTCGACCGGAATGGCAACATACACAAGTGGTGGACGGACTCCTCCATCCGGGGATTCGATGAGCGCGCTCGCTGCATCATAGCCCAGTACAGCAACTACACGGTCGATGAGGTGGGCATCGTCCTCAACGGGGAGAGTACACAGGGTAAGTCCTACTGCCTCTCCATCTGCTCCCCCTCACCTCCTCACTGCTCCTCACAGGCGAGAACATTGCGGACAATGGCGGACTGCGACAGGCCTTCCATGCCTACAAACGCTGGCTGAAGGACCATCCGGATGAGGTGGAGGACGAGCTACTGCCTGGCCTGAACATGACCGCACCGCAGTTGTTCTTCCTAAATTTCGGGCAGGTGTGGTGCGGCGCCATGCGGCCGGAGGCTATTCGCAACAAACTCATCACGGCCATCCACAGTCCGGGACGTTTCCGTGTCATTGGCACGCTCTCGAACTCCTACGACTTTTCCCGAGAGTTTCAGTGTGCAGCGGATGCGCCCATGAATCCCGCTACCAAATGCAGCGTGTGGTAGTCCTCACACAGTTACCTATGAGTATTATAAATGATGTATTCCACGCAGTCCTAGCGCTCACCAGATGCATGCCAGTTGGTAAGTTTATCAGCCATTCTACTTCACTTGCCGTTTTCCGTATTCACCACGATCAGAAAGACAAGCGCTAGAAAGGGATAGAGATAGAGATTGCACTGTGGTGAAGACGTCAGCTTGGGGTGGTGGAGTGTCGATCTGTCTGCTGTCTTGTAACTCGCGCTAGTTACCCTCTCACATTCTTCATCAACGCATTTAGCATTTAGCACACGCCCGGCTGGCTCTTGTGTCTTGTTGTTGTGCCAACAACGCCATCGCACTTCAATTGGGCCCCGCCGCCGCACTCACACACTTAATTAATGGTGATTTATGCTTCGCAGTTGCTTCTTTGACAAGGGGGGGGAACTTCACCAATTGTCTTTCCAATAAAAACGCAATTGGTGTGTGCTACTTTAGCTGCTGCCCGCCACGGGTTTGGAGTGCATTGAGATATTAATAGTAGATATTTCTGAAGGGGGTTTAATGTTTATGCGTGTCTCATTGTCGCTTCTCCCATTTAATGTGCGTTTTATGTACCTTTCAGCTTGCCGTACAACAGACTGTCCGTTTCCTGCGATATGTCAAGGATTCAGTGGGGAAAGTTTCTCCTACAAACAGCAAAGATTATGTGCCAAAAAAATTGCAATTTACATATATACGTATATATTTTCCTAGCCATTAACTATTTTTAATTGTACTTTGCAATATTTTAGTTAATTAAACCATTTATGTTTGTGATAATTCTAATTATGTATACTCTATGTATGTACATATTTATGTATGTAAATGAACAATAAATCTACACAAACTTTCAATATTTCGTGGACTCTTTCAACACTGGTTGTGTAGTGAGAAATTTTGGAAAACTTTTGAGTGGAACTTTCGATAAAAGAAAATTCAGTTGCGAACGTGCGCTCGGCAAGGCAACTAAAGATCATTCAGTAGAGATCGTTCGTTCGTTGGTGGTTGTTCCAAAAATATTTATATATATACCAATCAGAAATAGCCAAGAAAGCGGCAAAGAGACATGAGATATTCTTCATAAATGTTTAAAATGAAGTTTTGGTTGATTTTGCTGACATTTCTTGGCCTCCAGCGAGTCCAGGGACAGATTTATGGAGGCAGCAGCAGCTCCTATGGCCAGGCCATACGTCTTGGTGAGTGGAACACTCATTTTGCGCTCCCAACAAACTTTCACTCAAAACAAAAAAAAAAACAAAACATGCTGCAGGCCTTATCACAGACGATGAAACGGATAGAATCCGGCAGACCTTCGAGCATGCCATCTCCGTGGTGAACAACGAGCTGAGTGTGCCGCTGGTGGGACAAACCGAGCAGGTGGCCTACGGAAACTCTGTCCAGGCATTTGCGCAACTCTGCAATATGATGCAGGTGAGATGGGATTGTTATTTCATCTAGTTCGAACTGAAATAAACAGAAAACTTTCACCTTAGAGTGGAGTGGGTGCCGTGTTTGGGCCAGCTGCCAAGCACACGGCATCGCATTTGCTGAATGCCTGTGACTCCAAGGACATACCCTTCGTGTATCCCCATCTATCGGGCAAGGTCCAGGCGGATGGCTTCAATCTGCATCCACACCAGGAGGACATTGCAAACGCACTCTACGGCATCATCAAGCAGTTTGATTGGTCGCGATTCATCTTCTGCTACGAGTCCTGTTAGTATGACACTTTTGTATCCTCTCGATTGAGCTCTTATCTAATGCCAATTTACAGCCGAATATCTGGGCATTCTGGACCATCTGATGACACTGTACGGCGTCAAGGGACCGGTTATTAAGGTCATGCGCTACGATCTCAATTTGAATGGAAACTACAAGTCGGTGCTGAGACGCATACGAAAATCAGAGGACAGTCGCATTGTCGTTGTGGGCTCCACACAGGGCGTGGCCGAGATCCTGCGGCAGGCACAGCAGGTGGGCATCATGAATGAGGATTACACGTACGTCATCGGCAACCTGGACTTGCACACCTTCGAGCTGGAGGAGTACAAGTACAGTGAGGCGAACATCACAGGCATACGAATGTTCTCGCCGGACCAGGAGGAGGTGCGAGACCTGGTGGAGCGACTGCATCAAGAGCTGGGCGAAAGCGAACCCACAGATAATGGTAAGTGGATGATTGCAAAAGGAACTCACTCTCAGTAATTCATTTGCAGGTGCATCAACCATCACCATGGCCATGGCGCTGACCTACGATGCGGTGCGAGTCATTGCAGAGACCACAAAACATCTGCCCTACCAGCCGCAGATTTTAAACTGCTCGGAGAAACATGACAACGTGCAACCCGATGGCTCCACATTCAGGAACTACATGAGATCGGTGCGCAGAACAGATTATGGCTGGCCTTTATGGAGGCTCAACTTTAACTCTCCTTTTGCAGTTGGAGCTGAAGGAGAAAACCATCACGGGTCGCATCTTTTTCGAGGGTAATGTGAGAAAGGGTTTCACCTTTGATGTCATCGAACTGCAGACCAGTGGCCTGGTCAAGGTGGGCACCTGGGAGGAGGGCAAGGACTTTGAATTCAAGCGGCCAGCTCAAGTGATCAACTTCAATGACATCGACGATGGTTCGCTGGTCAATAAAACATTCAAAGTGCTCATCTCTGTGGCGGTAGGTGGACTTTTCTTTGCATTTTTCAGCAATTTAAGATCATTTCTTGTTTACAGACCAAACCATATGCCAGTCTTGTGGATAGTATAGACACACTCATTGGCAATAATCAGTATCAGGGCTATGGTGTGGACCTCATCAAGGAGCTGGCCGATAAGCTTGGCTTCAACTTTACCTTCCTCGACGGTGGCATTGACTATGGATCCTTTAACAAGACGACCAACACCACCACCGGAATGCTCAAGGAAATCGTCGAAGGACGAGCTGATTTGGCCATCACCGATCTAACTATAACATCGGAACGCGAGGAAGTCATTGACTTTTCGATACCCTTTATGAATCTGGGTAGGCCTCAACACTATGCCATAAATGCACCTCAATAATATTCGGAAATCTGCTTTAGGCATTGCCATTTTATATGTGAAACCTCAAAAGGCACCACCGGCACTCTTCTCCTTCATGGATCCATTCTCAGAGGAGGTTTGGCTCTACTTGGGCATTGCCTATGTGGGCGTCTCCCTGTGCTTCTTCATTCTGGGTCGACTGTCGCCCACGGAGTGGGACAATCCATTTCCCTGCATCGAAGAGCCCGAAGAGCTGGAGAATCAGTTTACCATCAACAACTCGCTGTGGTTCACCACGGGCGCCCTTCTGCAGCAGGGCTCCGAAATCGCTCCCAAGTATTGCAATATCCATTGACTCTCGTTCATGTAATAATCATTCGCTGCATTTAGATCCCTGAGCACACGTACCATAGCGGCCATTTGGTGGTTTTTCACACTGATTATGGTGTCCTCGTACACTGCCAATCTGGCTGCTTTCCTGACCATCGAAAATCCCACCAGTCCCATCAATAGCGTTGAAGATCTGGCGGACAATAAGGAGGGAGTGCAGTATGGAGCAAAGCGTACAGGATCCACAAGGAATTTCTTTCTGGTAGGAAGTTATTTATGCTACGAGGAATTATATTCATTTATGTACATTGATTTTCACAGACCTCTGAGGATCCCATCTATATGAAAATGAACGAATACATGACCAATAACCCGTCCATGTTGCTGGACAACAATCAGGATGGCGTGGAGAAGGTAAAGTCTGGCAACAAGTACGCCTTCCTCATGGAATCCACCTCAATTGAGTTCAACACTGTGAGGGAATGCAATCTAACGAAAGTGGGTGATGCCCTGGATGAAAAGGGCTACGGCATAGCCATGGTGAAAAGTATGTGAAAAGTAAATCCCATCGAATAAACTGCAAGCCATGGGCTACTATTACAGATTGGCCATATCGCGATAAGTTCAACAATGCCCTGCTGGAGCTGCAGGAGCAGGGAGTCCTGGCCAGGCTCAAGAACAAATGGTGGAACGAGATCGGAGCTGGCGTGTGCAGTGTAAGTTTTAGCGTGTTTTTACAACAATTTGTGGCATTATTATATTCCTCACTGTAGGCCAAAAGCAGCTCCGATGGTCCCTCAGAGTTGGGTGTGGATAACCTGAGTGGCATTTATGCTGTCCTCGCCGTTGGCACCATCATCTCCATCATCTTTTCCATCTTTTGTTGGTGCATTTTCGTATTCAAGAAGGCCAAAAGCTATGAGGTGAGTGCATCTATACAGCACATCTGTACACAGCCATAGTTATAATTGTTTTTCCTCACTCAGGTGCCCTTCTGTGCTGCTCTGGTTGAGGAGTTCAAGATTGTGATTCGTTTCTCGGAGAATGAGCGTGTCCTGAAGAGCGCCCAATCGGTTTACTCACGCAGCCGGAACTCCTCTCACTCCATAGAGTCTCTCAAAACGGATTCCGATGAGAATGTGCCAGCGGATGAGGACGATTGAGGAAGACCCTGGCTAGAAATTATGTGCACTGGGTGCTGGCTAACAAGAAGACACAAAATAAAATTAATTCTGATAATTTAACCACTGGATTCGAGGTGTTTTACTTATTCACGTTCGCCCTACGGCATCTCCCGAAGAACTTTTATTTTCCAAGAACTTTCGGCCAAAAGCTTTGGGCAACTTTCACTCAAAAAAAGATTTCCAAATTGGCATTTTGGAAGCAGCATCCGATCCGTCAGTTGTGCTGTGGCTTTTCGCTTCTCCCCAAGTGTGCGGATATTCCGGTTCAATGTGGTCTTGTGTATTATTTTTATGTTTTTGTGTGGCCTATATATGCTATTATGCATTTTAGTTAGCTCTCAAAATGTTTAGCAAACATATTTTTCTGTCGTTTGTCTTTATTTTAACGAGCATTTCGCTGCACAGCGCTCAGTACGAGGGAGGCTATGGCAGCAGCTACGATAATTTTCAAAGCTTGGGCAGTGTTCCGATTGGTAAGTAGTTTTGAAAATCAAAAAAAAATCTACACTAAAATGTACATATGTCGCGCGAGTTCTTTGTTTGTTGTTGTTGGGCGATTTATTTTTAACAAGCTGTTCCCCACTGTTCGCTGTTCGCTGTTCGTTCCATCAACGCCGAAAGCTCATAAAAATTGTATTTGATAGTAAATAAATTTGGATTTGTTTGTTTTGTTTTGGGTGTCTGAGCGGCAATGGGCTAGACCGCTGCTCAATGAGGTCGGCATTTTGTGTTTATAAACAAAGAGCCCAACCGGCAAGTGTGATGATTCTCATTATGTTTTTGCAGGTCTGCTCACCGACCAAAACACTGAACAAATGAACATTGTCTTCGATCATGCCATTGAGGTGGCCAACCAGGAGGTGGGCACAACGCTGACATCCCTCAAGGCGGAGGTTAACTATGGGGATGCCTATCAGAGCTACGGACGACTGTGCAGGATGATGGAGGTAAACAACTTCTTCCACTTTGAAACATTAATCGAAAATATTTCATTCCAAGACGGGCATTGCTGGTGTTTTTGGACCCTCATCGCGGCACACTGCCGTACACCTGATGTCCATCTGCGATGCCATGGATATTCCACACATTTATTCCTACATGAGCGAATATGCCGAGGGCTTTAATCTGCATCCACATCCGGCTGATCTTGCCAAGGCGCTGTACAGTCTCATCACCGAGTTTAACTGGACACGCTTCATATTCCTCTACGAATCGGGTATGTTGCCATAGTTAGCTCTTGCTGACTGGCATTATCT